TCGACAGGTTGCAACCCTAAAGACAAACAGATTCTTTCAAGCGAATAACTAGTAAATGAAAAGTTGGGCAGAGAGAAGGGGAGGCGATCCCAACCTCCCCAAACAGATCGGTCTTAAAGACACCCGTGAGCACCGAGAGCTCAAGGGGTGCATTCTTTTCAAGGCACAAAATAAATACCCGTAGGCAGAGGCAGCAGGATGTCTGTTCCCAGTAAGGCTTTCAGTCAAGCTTAAACAGCACATGAAAGCTCCAGGCATTTATTCAAATGTTAAAAAGCAAACCCAGCGCACACATATTGAGGCTTCTCGCAAGGATTAGTAACAAAGTCACATGTAAGCAAAGGAACGGCTTCAGCTAAGCTGCTCCACTGTATAGTTTATATAGGCAAACGCCTGGGCTGGGTGCCTCGAGTGGCAAGAACTCGCCTGGGAAATAGGATCAGCCTGAGACAACCATGCAAGCGCCCACCCAAAGCGGAGACCTTCACGTGTCCCCATCTTGATATACAGGAGCACCAGATAAACCCCCTTAGTGACAGCAAGAAAAGAAAAGAAAAAAAAAAAAACAAGCTTCCTTCCTTCATTTAAGATTCCTCTCCTGCCTCGCCAAGAGACTCACGGCACAGCAGGTCTGATCTGCTGCTGTTTGAATCCTGAAGCATCACCGCACACTGCGCCAAGGCACCGAGCAAAGCACTGGGACGCAATTAAGCCACACAAGGAGCGTTTGAGGACTCGGCCGTGGCTGCGGCACCGCTTTGTGCTGGTGACTCCCTTCTGAAGACCACCAAAACCACATTTCCAGTCTTCCTGACATCTGCACCCAGACCCCTCGGTGCCACCTCCTCTCCCGCTTCAGTCCCCACCACGGCTGGGAGGTGCCGGCAGTGCGGTGCTGAGCTGGTGCCTCCCTCCATCCCCTCGCCGGGGCACCAGCACGGTGCTGAGCCCCCACCATCCCCCTACACGTACCAGCTGAGGACTGGTGCAGGCAGTAGACACAGCATTATTGGGAGAAGTTACCTGACCTTATAACGAAGGACATCGGTGAATGGGTGTAGCCACATGCGGTAACAGGCTGTACCGGCACCGTGCACCCCGAGCAGCCCCGCTGGGAATCCTCCTCCCCAAGAGATGCTGCGGAGAGCCCCCTCCTCTTCACAGGCTCTCCTCCCCATCGCCCTTCACAAAACACTCCACACTGGGCCCTCATCCTTCCACCCACTGACTGGACTGGAAAGGTTGTTTGATAAGCTCAACATGCACCGAATTCGTTTTGTTTTGCTTTTAAAGCGCTGTGGGGTGAAGACAGGGCTAGAAGGGGGTTTATAGTCACTGTGCCTCAGTGTCTGGAAACACCCTGGAGACAGAAGTGAGCTGGGTACATTTAACTACAAGATGACAGATTCAGAAGTTTTTGTAGCTTCAATAAAACTCTCGACAGCTAGAGAACATTTTTTTCTGTGTTAATTTAATCATACAAATATTCATTTATACATTAAGGAAAAAGCTTCCTTTATTTTCAACCCCAATGTGCTATCATAGGACTTCTCCCAGACTCAATGAGGCAACACACCATCCTGTTCTACACATGCACTCCCCCCGGAGAGAATAGACAGGCTGCAGAACCACCCACGCACTCACACACGAGAAAAAAAAAATAAAATAATTAAACACACAACAGAAACCCAGACATGGGACAGCGTGCATTTCCTAACCCTGCAGACTCCGGCTGCTCTCGTGCCCACGCGCTCTCTGCCCCTCGGTGGGGGAGCCGCATCTTCCAAACATTTGAGAGGTCCGAATTCAACTCTCCCAAGATGTGGGCAGCAGATGCCAGCTCCCCCCCGCCCCCTCACGTGGCATTGCCAGTTTTGGGGTAGCCCGAGGGGTTTCATGCTCCAGTTTGCCTAGGCTGAGAGAGGGCGCCTGGGCTGCCACTGCTCAGCCCTTATCACACGACACAGCCGAAGCGGCTCACGTTGACACAGGGATCCATTTAGAGCCCCTCGGAGATGTTCTGCGTTATTTTTTTTTCTTTTGGAGGGGTGGGGGGGGGGTAAGGAAGATATCTCTCTCTCCTTCTCAGGACTTCAAGACAGATGGGTGTCAACCAAACTGGAGCCAGTCACAGCCTCTCCATCACTGCATCATCCCGCACCAGTGGGTACCAGCCCCATCCCTCGCCCAGTCAGGAACACCAGCCTCACTGGGCTAACAGCCTCTTTACTGGTTCACCAGTCTCAACCCAGTAAGGATTCCCTCCCATGTCTAACAGGCCCGAGTTCTGCGTGCCTAACTCACCTGGAGCAACTCATCTGAGCTGCCGCACACGCTGCGGGCTCACCAAAATATTTGGCATTCAGCACTTCTGAAAGACCAGGCTGTTTATTTCATGCATCTGATGTTAAGACTCTGCGAGTTTGAATGCATCGGCTCTCTGGAAACCAACCCGATCACGGTGCCCTGAAGTCACCTGGAAAGAGCTTTGCTGAAATACAGCTCCAATCCCCCTATTTAAAAGCTGGAAACCTGACAGCAAGAGCAATTTGAGGGCTGACTGCACCACTAAGCTCCAAGGAACCAGAGGAGATAAAACCACCTTTGGCCTCAGCGAAACAGTTTTTACTCGAGGAAAAAGCCAGAGGTAGAGCAGCCACTAATTTAAACATTCTTCCACTGTCACGGCCAGGGTTACAGCCCCAAACCCTCAAAGCATCCGGAGCTCTGTGCGGTCCTTCGCAGAGATCATTCCCGCTCGCACTCAGCTACCTGGGGAAGAAAGAGCGGTGATGTGAGCAGCGAGAGGTTGCAGATTTCAGCAGCAACTCGGATCTGGCCCTGCCTTTCTCCACACCCTGCAGGAAGTGACCCTTGTCACGAGGACGCCACAGATTGAAAACGCTCAAGAGGAGAGGGAATTCAAGTCCGTGCAGAACAAGTATGCCTTCTGAGTGGGAAAGCACACGACTACTTGGGGTGCATGTGTTTTTTTGTTTTTTTCTCAAGAAAAGGAAATTCAGTCTTAGGAGGAGCACAGGAACACGAACGTGGCAGCCATTATACACGGGAGGAGCAGACACGGCTGGGAGCAGAAGAAAGCCAGCGCGGGGGGATCCAAGTTCAAGGGTCTCCCAGATGCCTCAGCTGACACAAGGCAAAGCTTGCAGCACCAGCTACCACAGACTCAGATGTTAATTCCCCCCCTCCCGCTACACAGCTGACAAAAGGAGCTGATGAAGATAAGGAATCACCTCCTCACTTGGACTAACAGCAGTCTCCAGTGTTTTAGATGCCTTCAGAAGGGAAGCGGCAGTATTACAAGAGGTGTGATGGTCAGGTACACGTTCGTGCCTTCAGAGCTTGCCGCACAAGCCACCTGCTCGGAAAGGAGGGAGCGAAGAAAGAATCCACTTGCCCACACTACACTGCAGTGATGTAAATCATTCCCTAGGCTGAAGGCTAAGAGGAGATAACTAATCCAAGGCAAAATGATGTTACAGGACAAGAGCCGAACACTACGGCTGTGCTGAGCAGTGCAGCACCACCTTCCATGGGTTCACTCTGGATCTTAACACTCGCCCAGCTCCAGCAAGCTGCCGAGACAGACCCAGGTGCTCACCAAACTGCACGTGTAGATGGCTAGCAGCCCAAATCCTGCAGTGCCTCTTTCATGCCGATAGTTTCTTACATTATACTTGTTTCTCCCAGCAAACAGACTTTTTGAAGGGAGACTTCAGATAACAGCGACCTTTAACAACCAAACCTCTGAAATATAAACAAAATCTATCGCCCAGTTCTTCCTCTGTTGGATACAAGGAACTCCCACTGTCCTCCAGAAGATCCATCTGTATGCACCAAGGTAAGAGTGCCCTTGGTAGCTGCAATGAAAATGAATCCCCCATTCAAAACCAACCAAGAAAATAAAAGTAGTGAAGAGCAATCAGTGTAAAGCCACACACCATGCAGCAAACCTGCGCTCTGCTCCAACAAGGAGAACAAGAGTCTTCACTGGAAGGATTTGGAAGAAGGTAGCGGGAGCTTTGCATGTTACTGCATCTTTGGCAGATGGCTGTTCCAGCCTTGTTCAGGTTTCTGAGTACGATGGTGTCCCCTCACCTCACTCCCTTTCAGCGGGATCTGTGATGACTGCCACCGCAGCACTGGAGCCCATTCTCCCTCCACTCACACTGGACTTCCCAATCCATAACTGGAGGAAGATACATTGGAGGAACAGCAGAGCAACCCGCATCTCTAGAGGAGCAATCCCTCCCCTAATACCAAGCCCTGGAGAAGGTAAGAGCCTCAACGAAGCAACAAGCCAGGACGATAAAGGCGAATGAATACAAGGCGACAGAGTGAGATCCAGCTGATGATGCTAACTCTTGCTCTGCATTCAAAAACGCAAACAATTAGCCTCTAAGCTAATACTTTATCACAGGAGAAATGAATGCAAACTTATACTCTGTAAGAGAGATGGGAGATTCAAAATTAAAAGGACATGGCTTTCGTAAAGCTTTGCAACTACTACCAAGTGAATTACAGCTACAGAAGAAGAGTTTCCTCTTGGCACAAGACTGATACGCTTGCTTGGTTGCTCTAGGCACAGCTACTGTACATCAAGAGTTAACAAAAAGGTATTTTAAAATGCTAACCACATAGGACAGCTCTGGAACTTTAATAAATCTGTTCCTTATTAATATGGGTGTGTATTTGGATGTACTTCATGTACAAGGGGAAGGGAAATGAGCCCTCCATGTTATCCTACAAGTCCCAGAGTCTTTCTCTCCAACTTTGACACCAAGACCTGGTCTTCAGCATGGTTTCCAACAACATGCAGGACAATTAACAGCAACACCCAAACCAAAAGGAAAGAAATAAAAGAAGATAAAAAAAGTCAGTAACTAAAACCAGCAGATGATATTAAAAATGTAGAGCTGGGTGCAGACCCAACCTGTCATTAAAACATGTCTGACAAAAAGAAATCACTGCACAAACCCCAGAAGATGCTAAGCAAATTCCCATTCGGTAGCAAGCAAAACATGACAGTTCCGTAAAAATGCACGCTGTCCCTTATTTAAAAAAAAATATGAACAAGAAACAAACAGAAATTAAACATTTGCTCAAACTACAACCGCTCTGTATGCAAAATATTTTTTTAAAGATGGCTTTTTCATTTTCATTTTTTAAACTTCTTTTAAGCTACCTAATTATGTGTGAGAATGATTTCTAAATTAAAAAAAAAAAAACAACCCCATGGTGTTGGTATATTTTCTTTCTCATAGCATTTAACAACACTCCTGAAATCCAGCATTCACACATGCATACTTAGATTTTGTATTTTCCTCTGGAAACAGCTAGTCTTAAGTTATTGGGCTTTTGTTTTTTCTTCTTTATCCAGAACACGAAGGCAGAGAAGGGGGGGTCCACGTTGTGTCTGTCTGCCACATGAATCCCCCTCCCTTCCCCCAAAAGTCAGTTCTTTGTTAAATTCTCCTCTTGTCGATACCCGTTTTGTGTTTTTGTGTTTTAAGACTGTCCGAAGGGATAAGGACCGTGGAAACCCTGAAAGAAAGTTGGAGACATAATCAATTTCAATAGGCAAGAAATAAAATTGATCATCGTACCCCTACAAATACTGACCATCCCATCCCAGTACTTCTAAACCAACTGCAATCCTTTTCCCCGCAATGTGACCTTTGCTGTCCAGCCTTACAAAACACTCCTAAAAACACAGGTTTCAGTGCTTCTAGCTGGTTTCCCCAGAGATGTCAGATGCTATTCACTTACCTCTTTCAGGTGTTATTTAGGCCAGGTAATAGCCAAGTGTTACTGGGCCACAAAGTAACTTGTATTTTCTACACCACAGCAAAAACCCCCTATAGATGCTACAATACCTGGGAGGCCAAGCAACTGCAGTTTCACAAGTCTATTGTAAAGATTACAGCACACAGTTAAGTAGGAGGCTGTAAATTGGTAGAAGAGGGTAATAGAAAAAATATCAAGATTTGGAAATCCACATTCCCACAACTGCCACTTTTGCTCTCTCAGGATAACAATATACATTTTCCTCAAGTGAAAAATCAACCACCACATTCAACCAAGACAGTCACAAATTCTTACTACAGAATCCATTTTCCCTCCTTTACATCCTGAAGTGAGTCACCTAAATGACAGATCTAGTAACAGGTCTCAAATTAACAGGAACTCCTTTCTGCAATTTCTATTGTTCAAATCAGCTATCCAGGGTTTCATCAGGAAGCAAAAGCAAAGCGACCAGCAGGCAGGCAAGAGATCCCCCAGGTCACAGGGATATAAAGTTTATCATAATGACGAAGGTACTGACCACACACAAAATCCTCCTCAAGACCCAGACACAAACACAGGTCAAAAGTGAGACGAGGGAGAAAAACTCATTATATTTCATTGTCAAAGTTGGAAGCCCATTATGCAAATGCTTTTTCCAACACAGTCCAGCTTCTTTCCAGCATGCTGATGAGTAAGACAGCCAAGAGCCCAATTAACACAAAGTCATCCTCAGTCTTTAAGTGAAGCTCTGACTTCAGTTTTCACCATTTTGCCTTTAACAGGGCAAATCTCAAGGGAAATACGGTTTCCTGCATGTTCTCCTACAACTCTGCAACAACCTCGCTGTATGAGCCACAGAGCAACAAAGCAATCAGTCTAACACGACTCATAGAAATTATCAACTTCATTAGCTTAAGCCCAGTTGCAAAAACCCAAGTTCCAGAGCTCTGTTGTATATCTATGTTACAAAGGAAGTGCTGCAAGAAGCCTGTAATCTCGCTACAGCTGTTAAGACAAAAAAAAATAATTCTTTAGGATATATCAGATGGCAAAACACCAGACAATTGCAAAATGAAGCATCTATCATCAGCTCTCAAAATTCAACCAAGAGAGGGGGATTAGCAGACAATTAAACAGGACATCTCATGAACTGCACGGGAAGCATGGAAGACTGGAAACTTGGAAATTGCTGTTTGCAGACAGAAATACATGCAAGTGATGGAAAAACAAACACACTTCTACCGTAGGAATACGCTGCACTCCCGGTTTGTAAAGCAAGCTTTTCAAAAGATAAGACTCAGCAGACTCCAGCACAACAGTTCACCTCAGAAAGGAGATGCTCCCACCAAAATCAAGAGACTGAGATAGTCAACAACCCCAAGAAAATAGAGTCACTGAAAGAGGAGGAAGGGGAAGAGCAAAAAAGAAACATTAAAATAATGCGAACGGGTGCACAAAAAAACCAACCCAAAAGACACAGAAAGAAAGCAATGTTATAAGCAAGATCCTAAGCAGTCTCACCTCAAAGGGATTAAGCTATTGTACTTCTTGCTCTACAGAAGAAAAACAGGATTTGTTGCTGATTACCTGTACAGACACATTTGCCAGAATCTGCTTCATCTTTTCTTTACCTGCACATACGGCTTTGTTTGCAGATACTGACTGGCAAACCCTCCCGAGCCTCAGGAGAGCGGATCACACACCAGCTGCTCCCAGCCGCCTGCTCCCTCTGCCGGGGACGCAGCCCAGGCGCCCCGTCCCCTTCAGTCCTGTTCCTTAGGGTTTGTGTCGCAGGCAAAAAGCCTCGCTGATTTAAGGCGCGCACGCCGTAAGCCAAGACATCTGCACCACCCCATGACATAAAAGAATTAGCACAGTCCACAGTCTTCAGCTGAAGTCGGACAGGAGAAGAGTTCATCAGTCCTTATGTGTGCAGAGAGACCCTGGGAAGGGGCCATTAGCCTTGTTTCCAGGGAAACCCTCTGGATCTTCAGATACCGTTTTCTGCAGCATCTAATTTAAAGCTACACAATTATGCTAATCACGTGTTAATTAAAACCAGAATTTAGCTCACCTTCAGAGTGTCAGGTTACTAAGCATACACAGCTTTGTACCACTCGCTACACTGCACAGGCCGACATCCCCAGCTGAGCTTCTCCCACCAGCGATTCAACAACAGCCCCAGAATCCGCGCCCAAGGTTAGCTTCTCCTCATGCAACGAATTTCACCACGAAAAAGCCCAGAAATCTTTGCTTTTGGGATTGCTACTCTTCACTGCATTTCACTTACCCGTGAGATTTATTAGTGTATGTTAGAACTTACACAATTAAAAACCCCACTAGTTTCTTTTCTTTAAGATCAAGAGTAGACTTAGTTTAACAGGAGACCCTGAGCAAGAAACTGTTACTCCCCTCAGTGAAATGAGAATAGTTTCTCTCTTCTTCCTCACCAAGATGCAGGCTGTCTGCAGAGCAATTCTTTCTCATTACATTTATTCAATGTGCAGAGTGTAATAGCGCCTTGATACCTGAAAACTTCAGTTACTGCTGCAATGCAAATACCAAACTCCATCATACGGCATTTTCAAGAATACTTATCCCTTGTATGCAATATTTTACATCATAAACATGCAAAAATAATTCTGCATACAATTGCAGGTTTTTTTCCGAGTTATTTCAACTGAAGAGTTACTCACACTATTTTTGGTGAATTCTCTTCTATTCTCAAAATGAGATCACTGTCTTTATGAAAAGCTCAGCTGCAGCTTTGCAAATTTACTTTCAGTTCTTCCAATATCTTCCACAGAAGTAATTGCTAAGTTGCTAGTGAAAGCATACTGGCTATTCATATCGATAAATATGTGAGAACAGAGGAGCACGTGTTTTCAAGAAGAGACTTTACGTGACAATTATTGGTATAAATTATCATTTGACTTCTGTATCTAGAAGGGAATTGAGACGTTTTGGAAAGTTGAAGGCCTTTGTAATACCGAGCTCTTTAAATGAAGGCACCTGTGCTAGAAATAAAATGAAGATTAAGTTAATCTTTCATAAACCATCACAACACAGGCTTTCAAATAGCTATCTTTATTTCACCTTTGTGACTGAGTCAAGATCAATAAAAGGTACACTTCAAGAGAGACAGGAGTTTCTGAGGCACAGCTGCAGAGCAATACAGGAGTCTCCCAGTGTACACTGACAGTAGCATCACACATCGCTACAAGTCCCCGTTTCCTCGTCACCTCCTGGGCCGCTCCTAGCCAGCGCTTCTCCAAACTACGCACAGGTCTCTTGAATGACTTACGTAAACTGAACACAAACAGAAGAACAAAGTATTGAGCACTTTTTTTTTTTGTTGTTTTGTTTCATTCCATGCATGCTGTGCAAACATGGTGTGGCAGTTTAAGACCACCAGGAAGTGAGGAACCTTCTCCCAGCGCAGCCACTCGCAGGGCTGGTTTCCACGCACACAGCTGATGAAGTACAGGAGGGCTCAGGTACATGATTAAGTTACCGTGCAACAACTTAGCTCGTGTAACTTAATCAATGGCGTGCTTTTAGTCCGCAGAGATAAAAGAACAGGGAAAACTCTGTTGGCCTGCAATGGAGCAAAGTGAAGCTAAAATCAGATTATCTCACATTTCCCACAGTCCAAAAGCACACGGACTGGCGGGTTTCATGGATGAGCTAACATGCAGCACCCAAACACATTAGTCTTTCACCAGATAAGCAAACTAGCTCATGCAACACCAGTTTAGCCTGCAGATGCTATGCAGCAGTGTGGCTGTCCAAGAGTAGCTACGGTAGTTTTGAGTCCAACGTTCTCCCACTTTGTTCTAAAAGAATCTAAGCACGTGGTGACTAGCCCAGTTTGAAGCCCAGACACCAGGATGGACGGAGCTTCTCTTTGACACGGAAGCGAACATTTCTGGGGCACCTTCCTCAGCCACAAATATTAGTTTGGTACCCAAATAGTTTCCAGTGGAAAAATTTGTCTGAAGTTTACAGAGGTACTCCAAAACCAGGCAAATAGGAGTGCCCTGGTTTGGAAGAAGCACACATCTAGAAGCAGCAGCAACTTTTAAACTCAGAGGGGAAGGCAGTCAAAGGTTCTAAGGACAGAGAGAGGTTTGGTTTCCCCTTATGTATAGAAAGCTGTCAAGTAGCATGGATCAGAGTTCAGCGCCACACAGAATGAAGTATGAGGGGAAGCATAAATACAGCAGGAAAAAAGATGTTAAGATTTTAATTTTGTGAACTCCAAATACGCGTATATTTCACTGGGCCTTTAAGAGTAGCACGAGTAACACACAAAACAGATTAATACCAGACAAGCTGTAGAACGCCCTTTGCTATGGTGATAACCATGCGAATTGTTCTGTATAGGCAAATCTTTGCAGAATCAAGTCTTCTACATGTCGTTTTCTGCATTACGCAGAAAGCGGCAATTCCTCAATCCATATGGGCAACAGATTTAGATATATATATTTTTTTTTTACATATAGATGACAAGTACAATCTGAATGTCAGTATATGGCTATCCACTTCAGATCTTTTTAGACATTTAAACCTGTACGTTTTTTCCTTAGTTAAGAAATTTAACTCTAATTCCCCAGGCACTGTAAGACTGCATCTTGCACTTTTAATGTAAAAGACTGTCACAAGAGAGCAGCAGTGACCTCGACAGTGTTGCTATGAGACAGGAGCGAGTAAATAGAAGGAAGCTATATTAGCCTCATCTCTCTCGAGAATACAGAGAGAAAGCGATTGCCAAAGAGGAGAATAAAATACCCATGCATGGGTATATCTGGACTCTAATACAGCTCATCCCTATCCCGAGATAAGCATCCTATCCTGCACTTAAGCACATCTTTAATTCTAAGAACATGCAAAAACTCCACTGGGAATAGATAGAACAACACCACGCTTGAAGCAATGCCCTGAACACGGACCCTGATCTACAACCTTCCAGCAGTTTATTTGCTAAGGTGAGCAGCGTGGACCCAGGGAAAGCAT